ACTGTGGGGGAAAAAGACCTCTTCTCTATTGTTGGTAGACTGGTGCAACCACTGTGGAAATCAGTGTGGAGATTCCCCCCAAAACTAGAATTAGACATCCTATTTGACCCAGTTTTACACCCTTCTGGATATTTTCTGACTTAAAAACATCACACCAGAGTGATAAATGTACACCTATGTTTGTTTTTGTTTTTTTTTTTTTTAAACATTTATTTTTTATTTGTGTGTGTGTGTGTGTGTGTGTGTGGCCAGCTCAGCCCACCTGGGGGCGGGGCTGGCTGGCATATGGTGCTGGGGGATTGAACTGCGGTCCCTGTGCTTTACTAACCTTGTTCTAAGTAAGTGCTTTAGACCACTGAGCCATCTCACCAGCCCCCACCTATGTTTGTTTATGGCAGCACAATTTGTAATAAAATTTTGGGAACAACCCAAATGCCCATCAACTGAGAGACTGATAAAAAAGATGAGTGTTTTTGTTTTTGTTTTTTTGTTAAACCGGGGATTGAATTGAGGCCCTTGCGCTTGCCAGGCAAGTGCTTATTCTACTGAGCCATCTACCTGGCCCTGAGACTTTTATATAATGGAGTACTACTCACCCATAAAGAAGTATAAACTGGAGACTTGTATAGGTAAATGGATGCAACTTGGGACCATATTCATAAGAGAAGTCAGACTTACATGCAAACATAGTATCATCTCCCTAGTGTGAAAACCTGAAGAAGTGTGATAGAAACACATTTTAATTCTGGAAATAATGTTAGCCTTCCAATGTGTTTTCTTTTTTTAATGTTTTAGTACAGTGTCTACAGAGTCTCACTATGTAGATCAGACTCCTAGTGATTCTCCTGTTTTCAGCTTCCCACGTGCTGGGATTACAAGTGCGTGCCACCATGCCCAGTTTCATGCCCTCTTAGTGTGTCCCAGGGACGGGGCTGGCACGGCACACCAGGGATAGAACCCCAGCCATTGCGCTCTGCTTAAGCAGGCACTTTAGTCTGCTGAGCTATCTGGCTGGCCCCCAATGTTTTTTCTTCCTTCTCAACATTGGTTTTTTTTTTTTTTTTAAATTATTTTTATTTTTATTTATGTGTATGTGTGTGTGTGTGTGTGGCCAGCTCAGCCCACCAGGGGGCGGTGCTGGCTGGCATGTGGTGCTGGGGATTGAACCGTGGTCCCTGTGCTTTGCTAAGCTTGTTCCAAGTAGGTGCTTTAGACCACTGAGCCATCTCACCAGCCCCTCAACATTGTTTTAATGATTTCAAGTCTTTTAGATTTTCATAGAAATTTGTTATCTTCAGGTGTTTCACCTTAAAATGTCTCTTGTAATTTTTAATTTCTCTGTAATGTTTTTTTTTCTCTGTAATGTTTTCTAGTTTTTTGTTTATAGCTTTTATAAATTTTGTGGTGAGATTTATCACTATTTTATAACTGATGTGTTTTGTTTTTATTTGTCACCATGAAGTGGAAGTATAGTTGGTTTTCAATAAAGATTTATTTTTTTAAAAAAAGCTCTGTGGTACTCTAGAGAAAAAGGTAATTTTGTCTGGAGAAGTCAAGGAAGGCTTTCCATTGGCTAAAACAATTGAACTGGATCTTTTATAGAAATGGCTACCTAGGGCCGGGAGATAGCTCAGTGGAATAAGTGCTTCCCTGGCAAGCGCAAGGGCCTGAGTCCAATCCCTGGTTCCTAAAAAGCAAAAACAAACCATGGCTACCTAGCATATGTAAAACATTCCAGACAGAAAGAATAGCCAAGAGGAGAGATGTGAGTGTTTGGCAGAGATTTGGAAACTTTTAGTCATTTAAAAGATATGATTGGGGCTGGGGAGATGGCTCAGTGGAAAAAGCGCTTCCCCCGCAAGCTCAAGGGCCTGAGTTCAATCCCTCGTTCTGCCAAAAAAAAAATAATAATAATAATAAATGTAAAAAAAAAGATATGATCATTAGAAATTTGACTGCTGGCCAGGTGTGGTGGTTTGCACCTGTAATCTCAACACTTGGGAGAAGGCTGAGGTGGAAGATTGCTGTTAGTTGGAGGGCAGCATGAGCTGAACTACGTAGTGAGACCCTGTCTCTCTGTCTCTGTCTCTCTGTCTCTCTCTGTCTCTCTCTGTCTCTCTGTCTCTCTCTCTCTCTCTCTCTCTCTCTCTCTCTCTCTCTCTCTCTCTGTCTCTCTCTCTCACACACACACACACACATTTGACTGCTGAAAGGGGCCTATCTTGAGATGTTTGCTCGCTTTAATTTACTTACCATAACACTTCTTTATTACTACTCTTACAGCCACCAGTGCTGCAGCTGAGAGATCGGCTTTTTCATGCGTGAGGTTCTGCTGTCACAGGTCAATGGTCCTGCTTTTCCTTTCCCCTGGGTTGTTGTGGGAGCTGCCCCTGCTCTAAAGAGATGTCTCCTTACAGATCAGGATCCCAGCCTTCTCACCAGGTAAGGTCTTATTTGTTAATTCATTCACTCAAAAATATTTATGTGGTAGGCGCTTGGAATATTAATTTGGACCAAACACGAAAATGTTAATATGAACAAAAACAGAAGAAAATTTGTGAATTCTTAGAGCATAGAGTCAATTATTTTTCTAGGAACTATTGAATGATAAGAAGCTCATAGTCTAATGAAAAGTGATATGTAAAAAAATACAGTAAAATTGGAAAGGCCATGATTGAGGTCTGGCATGGGGCTGTGGCATCACACAGAAGGCATTTTCCTCTGCATGTGTTGGAGGAGGCAGTTGAGGGACTGTTCAGAGCACATGTGCGTACTCTGAACTAAGGGGCAGCCATACCTATTCAGGTACAGGATGGAGCATGTAGAGAAGCTGACAGAGTAGTCAGAGGCCCTTTGAGGAACTACTTATATTTTAATGAGGCTGCAACACAGGTGAAGGTAGGCATTAGATCACTAAAGCCCTGGAATTCTGTGCTAAAGAACTTAGCCTTGACCCTGAAGGCAGAGAGGAACTGCTGAACAGTGTTACATAGGAAAATGACATGATTAGCTATTTGTGTAGGAAGGATGGCTGGAGGCATTGAGGAAGCTACAGAGCAGGGAATGATGAGGATATGAAAAACTTGAATCTGGACAGTGAGGTTGGATTTGAGAGAGCAGGCAGATTAACAGAAACTCATAGTTGTTTAGGGGTATGTGGGGGGGGGCAGGGGGACAGAGAGAATGAAACTGGGAAAAATCCCCAGGTTTTGGACAGAGTGCTTAGGTAAATTGGGCACATTTAATGTGTGAGATCTGGCACTTACGAGAGGGCCTTGAGAACAAAATTCAGAGAGTTGTGATGATAGAGGCATCAGCCAGGGCTCTGATGACTCATCTTGTCCCACTTGCAATTCCCATCCTAAAACTACCTTTTTCCTACTCTGTCTCTTCCCCTCCTTTCTCTGTGTCTGTGTCTGTCCATTCCCCACCCCCTCTCTCTGTCTGTCTTTCTCTGTCTCTGTCTCTCTCTCTGTTATGTTTTCTGTGCTGAAACAATTATAGATTATTGGGAATCTCGAGCTTCCCTATTCTACCACTTAGCATAGTCTGGTGATGGCAAACTATGCCACAGACTGTTCATTACCACTGAAGGCTCTAAAAGATTCATCATTACTGACATAGGGGAATACCACAGTGCAATATCAAAATGAAGAAGTTGTCCTTAGTGTAATCCTGTGGTCCCTAACCTTTTTGGCACCAGGGACTGATTTTATGGAAAGTTTTTTCTATGGATGGGGCTGGGGAGTGATTTCAGGATTTGAGTACATTATATTCATTGTGCACTTTATTTCCATTATTATTACATTGTAATATATGTTGAAATAATAATGCACTCTCTATAGAGCCAGTGCGATTCCTGATCTTTGTTTTCTGCAGCTAGGGAGACAGTGACACTTAAGTATATTGTTTATAAGCCCAGACTACTCTGTAATCTTGTTTTGGCTGCTGTCAGAAAATGCTTTTTCAAAAACATGCAATATTGGTAGTGGAAGCAGACTTTTCAGTGCATTGGTGGAGATATCAACATATTTTGTCTTTATTTTAATCCAGATTGTATGGCGATTTGAAGTTGTCTCAGGATGCTGGAGATATAGCTCAGCAGCACAGGGCCTTCTTAGCAGGTACAAGGTGCTGCATCGACTGCTGGTATCAAAGAACAAAGTCTCGGACATGCTTTTATTTTTGTCTTTTTGAGACAGGGTCTCACTATTCAGTTTATTTATTTATTTATTTATTTATTTATTTATTTATT